CAATTCCTTCGAATTTCATATTCTTTAAAAGCCTCTGCGGAGGAGAGAGCTGGTATGTAGATAAGTAGATTAGTAGATATCACTGAAGCGTTATTGCTATGTATAGGTTGTAGACACAGGTCATTAGCTAGTCGCTTGGTAATCATGCGAAATACCTCTCCTCTCACGTTATAATGCGTCTAGTTTCGAGGCGAAGAATATTCTTGCCTTCCAGCCTTCGATGCACTAACTAGCTTGCTATTAAAGTGCGGTTTTAACTTGGCCAGTTGGTAACGTAACACCAACCGATCTGTGTAATGACAACAGGATAAACGCTTATAATTTTAACACATACGAGACACTATACTGTATTCCCATACATGTTTGTACTTGTTTTAACTATCAGCGCTAACTGCCAGGCAAACTGCAAACTTCAAGAATCAATATTTTTGGAAAAACAGACACGCTCGTCTTTAATTGGTAGGTATTACTGTACTTAAAGTTGCATATTTCCATGGCCCCAGCGACTTAACGCTCCGTGGAACGTCTTGTTCTGTTTTTAGTTTCGCTACAAATAAAAGTTGAAGCGGTAAATTTTAATAGAACTAATTTAACATATAAAAAGCACAATATTCGAAATAAACACTCCTAGAAACTCGATCTTTGCATTTCACATAAAATAAAATTGGTTCTCTGACTCTGTACATGTTGGAGCGTATTTTGCCAGTTTGGGAGAGAAGCGGAAGTGCAACATATAAACTTTGTCGACAGAAATCCTTTTTTCTTCACTACGGTGAGACGTACATGTTCTTTTCTTGACATATACCAATGAAAACGATCTAATCGTTTTAACATGCACATATTACTTTTCTTGCAGGAATGCAGTTGTGTTCAAGAAATGTAACTACAATCATCGACATCGGAGTTGGCGTTAGCTTATTGTGGTAGGAAGCGCAATTTATTCTTTAACCAGACGCTCTCTGTAGAGCGTAAAGTCGCTGGGGCTAATAGAAATAAGCACATTTAGGATGAACAATATGGCCTGATGGCCACAGGGTTATACTATAGTGGCCTGTCGACAAAAATGTCCAACCTCTAAAACCTCTACTTCATTAGTTGTTTTATATTACTTCGCTTTCCATTGTATACTAAGTATAAAATAGTATACCACTTAAGAAAGGGGCGTTTGCTATTTCGAAAATATGTATGATCTTTGAAGTTTGCAATCCTTGTGGCTAAATACCGTCTTGGTCTCTTCATTGTCATCCTGCTCAACCTATCGCGTTTGTGAAATTGTACATGCGAATAGGGCGTCTGTTTTTGTGGAAAATAATCATTTTGCAAGATTACCGTACATGAATGCTCATTGTGTTCTAAAAATTTGTCATTTGATATGTACTAATATAATCATTAGAAATTGAACATTGAACATTTATTTAAACACGGTAAAATCTTCAGTGTAGGCTTCAGTATAATTACCAACGCAAGGAAAGTGCTAAAAACTCCTGCAAAATATCTCGACCTAACATTTAAAAACTCCTGAAAGTAAAATTTAAAAACTCCTGTCAATGAATAATATAATTTGGAAGTAAATGTGACGCAATTTATAGTAAACGGGGCATTTGGTAATAAACTCCATCGTACTGTTCAGACATATTTAGCGAATTAACATCTTTACAACTATATTTGCCCCATATGTTTATTTATGTTAAAGACTTAGTTTCCTGCGTACTGTCTGGGTCTGGGTCTAGGACTAGTCTTCAGAGGTTCTAAATTAAGTACATTTTGTGTCCTTGCAGTAAAACATTATTAAATGTGATCTTCGACTGCGCGATCCGTTTCAATTGGATACTTATTAAAGTAATGAAAGCTCATTGTTTGCATTTAAAATCCACACTAAAAAGCTCATCACTCTGATGCTTATTACCTGAATAAAATAAAGCCATATTTACCTGTATTTTTCCGCATGGTTGCAAAGTATCAGATGACATCGATCTCAAGGTCATTCAGGCTAATACAAATGCGCAATACATAAACAATGCAATTTTTCATTAAAATCCTCATTTCTCGTTATATAGTCTAACTTTCCGGAAATGTACGCACAAATTTATAAAGCTAAGCTAAGATATTGCGCTTTTACCTCGGGCATTTCGGTTTTTATTACCGTCGGAAAAATCAAGGCACCCGACATTCGGCGAATGACGTAGCACAACTTGGCAAAGATTTACTACAATATTTCGAAATCTGACCGCACAAATTGTCTTTTAATTAATTAATTAAGCGCTTCAGCAAAATTTCCAATTCGTAAAATTCAGAAAGCTTACGTTCTTGCGATCATGCCACTAAATTGCGCGGCATTGGAATGAGTTGCGCATTCATTCGTTATTATCGTATTAATTAATGTATATTTCTTAATTATCTCTGGAGCAATTTCGTTTGAATTTAGTATAAAACATCAGTATAGGCAGTATACAGTTGTGACTTTGCTTGACAAACTGTCACTGGTGGAGATATTTCAAATACAGATATTTCTCTAAACAGAAACTGTTTTTCAAAAAGCTTGCGTTAAACTAAAGTAAAATTAAATCATACATTTTAATCAATCCAGGGGCGCCGGAGCCACGGGGGCAGCGGGGGCAACTGCCCCCGTTGCCCAAACAGTGCGGGGGCAGCACGGGGGCAACATGTTGCCCTTTTTACCGAAACTGCACTTCGAAATTCATCCTTTAATTCACAGAAATAGGAATTTATAACAATTTTTAAACAATGTTTGAGCAATCCTTAATTTTTAACCAGTTGTAGTAAAATTAATGCTAAATCAGGCAATATACGTCCTTTACTGATTTTATTTTGCGCCCTTAGCACGGTGCAACGAATAAAATTGTTCAAAATTGAATGTCCCATAATAGCCACAAGTAATCGAGTATCCATACAGTAAAGTTTTAACAAATATTGCCGCCCAGAAAAATGACGGCTGAGAAGCAAGTGCCCTTTTGAAATGGCTGCCCCGCCGCTTCACATTGCTTCCGGCGCCCCTGGATCAATCCAATGCACGATATTCGAAATAAACACTCCTAGAAACTCGATCTTCGCATTTCACAAATTTCTAGCCTGCGTAGCAATCGCTTTCAGGGAGACGGATCCAGCGTTTTGGGTGACCGTTTACTAGGTCTATACAACGACTAGGGGGGTCCGGGGGCATGCTCCCCGTGAAATTTTTAAAATTTGAGCCTCTGAAACAGCATTTCCTGCGTTCTGGCGTCACTTTTTAAATGAATTTAATGCTTAGAAAATGCATCTTTTTAGCTCAAACAATGAATTGAACCTTTTCGCAAACCTATTAGCTAGTGCTAAAAATATAGGATTGGCAACTGAATTGCTTACGCATCGATAGTTATTATAAGTACAACAAGTAGAGATGCTTTTATTAATATAAACATAGTTGTAATTTTAGATCTATACGTTTTCAAACGATGAACTAGAAACCAAACTGCAAGAGCTTGAAAGCTTCACAGTCATTTCCTGATTCTCTCTCGCTAGCGCAATGATTCGATCACGCAAGATTATATACATATTTCACGCTATCGTGAGTATAGACTGTGTAGTTACACGTATAAACATCGATATGCTTAACGGATCGATATTTACTATACAGTAAGTAGAAATCGCTTACAGTTATAACTTTAGACTATATACGTTTAAACAAACCTTCAAAATGAACAAGAAATCCATGTAAATGCTTCTATCACCAACGCAATGATTCAGTCACGCAAAATTATAAACATATTTCGCGCGTCCTCGAGTACTGTTATTAAACTTTCATGCCCAGTTTTCTCTAAATACTGCTCGACTCAGGCCCCCTTTACACGAGCCCGGGTTGATTTTCAACCCGGCCGGGTCAGCACGCCACAGGTGGTTATTTTTTTATTCTGTTTACATGAACCCGGGTTGACGACAATTTTTGCCAACCCGGGTCAGCCATTCTCAACCCGGGCTGACTCGAGTAATATTCCGAGCAACAGACTGGAGGAGAGTGTATTTTGTATCCCTTATAGAGCTCATACGATCATATTCCTTTTAGTTTTGGCTCTTATATCTTTCAGTATATATACGATTATATCCCTTTTTATCAGGTATTTAACCGTATAGCAACTTAATTCTGCCTTAAAGACGTTTTCTTTCTTTTTTGATAGCTCTCAAATATTCGGCATCGAACGCCAACGCCATACCTTCGCGCAACTTTGAATACATTGCGACAACATCAGAATTGAAATCTATATTTGTATAATCCATCTCATCTCAGTCTTATAATCCTTCAGAG